CAAATGCATCCCGAATGCAAGTACAAATTCCTTCAGTCCACTATGAATAATTTTTCTATGATTTTTTTTGGCGAAGGATTTGAATACACGATTTTTTGTTCACTTGTCTTTATAAAATCGGTTTCTGCAAACAAACAATATACAAAGGTAAGAAATGGTTACATAAAATTAGTATTGCACAGAAAGGTATAATTCAAGAAGTAAAATAATTTATTTCGAACATATAACACGATAAAAGTCAAATATACACGTTACACAAATCTTCAAAAATAGAACACACGCTTACCAAACATTTCTTTCTGTACAGTCCATAGCCAACACCGCAACTGACGCTATAGATGCTTTTAAAATCTAACTAAAGTAAAATGTATGTGACACGCATGCGTCAAGCGTACGAAATGTACAAGAGAAGTGCAGTTGAGAACCAAGAATTCAAAAATCGCTATGAATAATTTTTCTGCTGCGCCATTTAAACGATTTGAGGTATTTTCCAAACAAGATTGACGCTGGAGATATATTTTGATTAATAAAGGAAGGAACGCATATGACAAATTATTACAGCCAATGTGCAGATCTATAAAATTAAAAATATTCTCGAGTTTGGAAGAAATCCAACCACATTTGGCACAGTTATCTTATAATTACCTATTTCAGAAACTGCGAAATCACACACCTGGAATTTTTACAGCCACTGCTCAGTTAGTTGAAGATCCAACTCGTTTTACGATAGTTATCCTTATATTACGTAATTCAGTAGCGATTAAACCCACATACTTGAAATTCCTACAGTCGCTGCGAAGGAGTAAAATTACCATATTTCCGGAGCTTTGATAGAACGAACAAGCTCTGTCTGATTTAATTATCGGTTGATTACCTAATTCAGAATGAAATAGTGGACACACACAATAGGTCTCTAAATTTCGTTTAAAACAGGATTTGCAATTTAAGAATACTTTTCCCAAAAATATTATGAATAATTATATCAATACAAGGCAGTACACTGCGTTGAAAATTTGTGATTGGGTGACAATTGGATGCAGTGTGAGAAATTTAGCGATATTTTGGTCGTTAGCCTAAGATATCAATAAATATTTCCTTTATTTTATTAACAATCAAACGTTATCGTTCCAGAAACTAGGAAATTCCGATATAAATTAATTTTCATATATGTCAGAATAAAGTGGAACTCGTATTTTTTTTTATTAGCAGGGACTAATATTGTCATCAAAGTGAGCGCATCCGTGACAATATATTCATGACAGTCTTTCAATTTCGAACTTATGGAAGCATCCTTTGCATAATCTTGATAGGCAAGACTGGAGGGCTGCGCCAATATATAGTGAGGCTTTAGTGAAGAGAGCGAGGTCTTAAGGATATATAGGTCCTACTTATAGGCAAGCTTCGTGAATGGAATAAATTAACGAGGATTATCTTGAGAACTTCAATTAATTAGCGTCCAGGTTAGTAATTTCGATAAGCTGATAACTATTAATTAGGGGCTTACTGCAAAGCACAATAAAAAATAACTCTCGCCTAAGCAGTAAACATACGAGCAAAAATCAGAAAAAAATTTCATTTACCAGAACAGAGTTGGAAATAGTAAGCCTTTTTGTGGATTAGAGTTAAGATGTGAAGACATCAGCTACTTCAACATAGTTCTCTAAGTTCGGTTCTAAGTAGAAGCGAACAAAATGTAATTAGATAAGTCGAGGTTAATAGCTGCCCGATTAATTAACAGTATTTATTCAAAATAAGGATCAAAAGTCCCTAGATTAGTTGACAAATCGCGAGACCAAAAAGATAAAGTGTTATTATTTCACGATGGGATAACGTTAAACTAATGAAAATTTTTCCTTATAGTCACTGGAGCTTATATTCAATGGCATCACGTAGACTGAGATCGAATGTCGAGGAGAATAAGGTACCGTTGATAGGCGACTTTCTTCCTTTTTCATGAGGTTAAGTTAGATTGGTCAAGATAATTTTGGATAAATTAGTTTAATTGACAGTAGGTTATGATAATTATGGAGACGTTAGTTTATTCAAGGCTATGTTACGATGGCTTCATTGTTAAATAAATCATCCACAGCCCTCTTGCCAAAATTTTTTAAAGCGCAACTCATTCTCCTTGCAAGAAATTTCTTAGGGCGGCGCAGTGCATAAGCTGAGAGCTTCAGAAGAAGCAGGCCAAGCCCATTATAATGGAGAGGCTGTGAGGTAATTTGTTTAGAAGCTGGTAGGGAGAAGTTCATTTTTCTCGTCTCGAGCTACTCCATCACTTGCCAGTCTTCAAGAGCTGCAAATAGGATTCTTCATGCCATCACAAACTCAGTGCAAGAGCCCCTATAAGATTCTGCTTCAACTGCTTGTTTCATAGCTAGGATGAAGGTATGAAGCTTTACTTAAAAATAAGACGATTTATGATCGGTCTCCTTTCAGAAATTCCAAAAGAATAAATTTAAGATTTAAATAAGGATTTCCAAGGACCATTGGAAGTCTTCAGCATCGATCGGACACAATACAATAATTTGTTAATACTAAACACAATAGTTTCATTAGTGGTAGGGTACAATAATTTCTTCGATTACGCGGGGAGTTGCCGGAAGTGATGGATTTGAAACACTTCAAAGATAACGAAATAGATAAACAAATAAAATTTGGTCATATACACATCGTGAGATAGCATTTTCAGGAAGTTGAAACATGATAGTTCTTAGAATTCGCGCTTGGGAATTCGCAAAGCTTAGTTACTTAACAATTTGTCTTAAATGAAATAAATACTTATTGAATGCTTCATTCATGCAACAACACTATAATTTATTTAATTTTTTTTCTGGAAAAAATTGCATCCAAGACAGAGTGTACAATGGGTCAGGACAGTGAGAAAATCTACGATCAGTCTACATTTTTTTACATGGAATATTCAAAAGAACGTCATCCAGAAAAAATCTACCCAGAACACTTGTTTAGAGAAGAGATACAATGAGATGCTTTAGATTTATAAGCGCGTCCTCGGCTCTATTTACATACATTTACATCACTCTTATTATACAAAAAAAAAAACAATGCCATGCCTCTCCAGGCACTGCAGCTTCTTTTGTCTCCTCGAGGCAAGGAATTTGTATCTCAATACTACAAAAAACGTAGGTTTTTTCTCCATCTGGAGACATGTTAGATCTTTAGAGCAAGAACATTTAATTGTAAACATGAGATTAGACAAAAGTTTTCGGGTTTCTGCAATTTGAACGATTTCATGCGCTTTTTTGGCATTGTTTCGCATTTTGCGACAATCGTAGTTAAGTAATTTGTAACGAGCACGATGATCAGTCATGATGATTTGATGGATATGAAGATCAGGCATGATGCAAATAATTATTTGAATATAATTAAAACAATACGGAGTCATCTGCCATGAAAATGTTGGGCAAAAAAATAATAAACTCGTTGCGCCATATACCATTAAAATATTTCTTCATTGCGATCGGCCTGAAACGGCTTCTTTGGTTCCCAACTCGTCGCTTAGAATAAAACTGCGCATAATTTGTGCCGATAAAATAGAGAGAATTTATGACTCGGTCACCACGCGTGCGACGACTCTTAGAGCACGAGGCAAATTTTGCCAGAGCCTCTCGCGAGCGCCGCAGCTTTCATCTCCAAATTGAGTTTGGAAATTTTTCTACGGAAGGAAAATTTTTCGGGACCTCCATCGCAAAGACGACACCTCGGGAGGCTAGGCTCACACTTTGATGACACAGCAGACCTGTTGCTTACGAGCCTGCGCTGAATTTGGATCTGGCCATTAGCCTTCACTGAGTAAACAAGTCGCTCATTAGACTTCATGTAGTAAACATATTGCACATTAGCCTTCATTGAGTAAACATGTTGCTCATTAGACTTCATGTAGTAAACATGTTGCTTATTAGCCACCAGGGAGTAAACATGTTGCCCATTAGTCTTTAGGGAGTAAATATGTTGCCCATTACCCTTCATTGAGTAAACATGTTGCTCATTAGCCTTTATTGAGGAAACATGGCAGTCACCAGATCTCGCCTGCCATGTGAAGGGCATTACTCAGGTAAGCTGATGTAATTCAGCGACCAAAATCCAACATCAATTGCACACTCTGCAAATAAATGGGTCATATTGTCCAAACAGTGACAATTTCGGCTTATACGTTTTTTTACGCAAAAATTGGGTCAGGATGACCCACACAAGGGTAAAAAGAGCATCGCTATTTGACTCACAAATTTTTTTGAGTGTAGAGTGTGTCATAGAGGCGCTGGTGGGCGGCAATAAATTATTAGTTCGACTGACGGCGCAGGAAGACCAAAAGAAAGAAGCTGGGTAATTTGAATATATAAATATGATCAGCTGATCTGAATATGATCAGCTGATCTGAATATGATCAGCTGATCTCAATATGAATAAAAAATAAAATCCTAGAAATGGAGGGGAGGCTCGTATTGAATTAAAGACAAACACTCTACCATTGATGGGATTTTTTAGAGTACTCCTAAAATTACCCAGGAAATAACATCAGCAATACACTTACTTTTGAATCAATAGAGACAAATGACTTGGTATTGTTTTCCATTTTTGTAGATTAACCTCATCATTTGCGTGTGATTAATGATATTTTGTTGTTCTGTCACATTTAATATGAAATAAATTATACCTCGAATATTGCATGTATATAGAACAAATAATTCTAATGAACCCTATATTTTCAATTTTCCATCACATAATTTGATTTTCAAATACATGTGTTATCACTAATCCTGAATATATTCCCTCCAAGATTATTCCCAAGGATCAAAATGCAAGTTATACTCCAATATTATTATTCGTTATAGCTTGTAACTCGTCCACCGACGTCAACTCACCCATATTTTGGCTAAAAAAGTGTTATTCCGGTCAAAAATTTTAAATGACTCCGACGCTAAAATATCGACGTCGACGAGGCTAGACGCGAACTATTTGATTATGCGGCACGGAGAGCTTTAGGTTCTGATGATAATCAGGAGGTGTTGAGCAGGAGGTGCTGAGCAGGAGGTGCTGAGCAGGAAGTGCTGAGCAGGAGGTGCTGACAAGGAGGTGCTGAGCAGGAGGTGCTGAGCAGGAGGTGCTGAGCAGAGGGTGCTGAGCAGGAGGTGCTGAGCAGGAGGTGCTGAGCAGAGGGTGCTGAGCAGAGGGTGCTGAGCAGGAAGGTCTGAGCAGGAGGTGATGAGCAGGAGGTGCTGAGCAGGAGGTGCTGAGCAGGAGGTGCTGAGCAGGCTACCGCATGGACCACAGATGTCACGGCATGAACCACAGATGTCACGGCATGGACCACAGATGTCACGGCATGGACCACAGATGTCACGGCATGGACCACTGATGTGACGGCATGGACCACAGATGTCACGACATGAACCACAGATGTCACGGCATGGACCACATATGTCACGGCATGGACCACATATGTCACGGCATGGGCCACAGATGTCACGGCATGGACCACAGATATCGCGGCATGGACCACAGATTTCACGGCATTGACCACTGATGTCGCGGCATGGACCACAGTTGTCACGGCATGGCCCACAGATGTCACGGCATTGACCACAGATGTCACGGCATGGCCCACAGATGTCACGGCATGGCCCACAGATGTCACGGCATGGCCCAAAGATGTCACGGCATTGACCACAGATGTCACGGCATTGACCACAGATGTCACGGCATGGACCACAGATATCGCGGCATGGACCACAGATGTCACGGCATTGACCACAGATGTCACGGCATTGACCACAGATGTCACGGCATGGACCACAGATATCGCGGCATGGACCACAGATTTCACGGCATTGACCACTGATGTCGCGGCATGGACCACAGTTGTCACGGCATTGACCACAGATGTCACGGCATTGACCACAGCTATGCACAGCACAGGTCTTCATTCCACTCAAAGAAAAGAATTATTAATTGTTATCAATTAAAAGAATTATTAATTGTCCGTAAAATGATGCACTTTTCTGACCGATAACATCATCGAAAAACGAGGCTCATTTTCGTGGCCTAACTGGGTCAGCATGACCCACTTGGGATTAAATAGGACGATAAATAGGCAAGGTTTATTGGACAATGGCACACTTATTTCTCTGGAGTGAGATAATTACAAATATTCGGTTCAGATGGTTCGGTTCTTTCTGAACTAATCCATTTACAAAAATGCTGATTTCAGTGCTACACTAAATTTTACACATAGAGCCCTGGCCCCTCACTCAGTTCAGGCCCCTCACTCAGTTCTGGCCCTCACTCAGTTCTGGCCCTCACTCAGTTCTGGCCCTCACTCAGTTCTGGCCCTCACTCAGTTCTGGCCCTCACTCAGTTCTGTCCCTCACTCAGTTCTGGCCCTCACTCAGTTCTGTCCCTCACTCAGTTCTGGCCCTCACTCAGTTCTGGCCCTCACTCAGTTCTGGCCCTC